GATCCTTCCCCTGATAACTGCATCTAATCTGCTCTGCCACACTGTCTCCCACATTTCTCTCGCCCTTCATCCGTCCATCTGTCCCTGCAGTTCAATCAGGCTCGATGTCCTTCCAGGAACATCAGTAATCTCATAGCAGTGTGTATTCTCCAAATTTATTCACAGTAATCTTTTTGTATTTCTGTCAGATACAAACTGGCAGATGAAAAGACGTATTCTAAATACTATTTTTCTTTTTTAAACACAGCTGTTTACATGATGCATAGTGATGATGTAATGCATCTATTTGTGACTATGTAAGATTATTAATAATGTGAAGATGGGGACACAAAGTAATTTTGTTTTAGCTGTCAACGTAAATTCATATATTGATGTAATCATGTCTTGCAATGTATTTCATAGACAAAACAGAGATGTCACTTACGTGTCTAGGAGTGTGGAGTGGCCAAGTAATGTTTTCGCCTGCTCTCTATCACTGTCCCTTTTGGGTTTTTGTTTGTTTGTTTCCTTTTGAGTAAAAAAAATTTTTGGCTTTGCTGGTCCTGCCCCAACCTAGGGAAATGTAAACATGGACTCGTTTCATCTGATTTTGCAGGAAATCTGACCTAGGGACTTGCATTAAAGGTATACTATGCAGGTTTTTACTAGAAAGCAATACATAGACTCATACACAAGTAAATCCCTCTCAATCATCACTTATGACGCGCTAGAAGTGTGTGTTATTTCTGCAGCGACTCTGCCCTCTGCCTGTATTTTCTTATTTTCTCCTTATTTTCTGTGTTCAGGTTGTTAATGGTCGGAGCTTTATAAAAAGTAATGAACACGTGCCAGACCGTGAGCAGCAAGCATCCAAGAAACACAGCATCGAAAAATAATGTAAGCCGAAATGGAAATCATGAATGAATCTGGGGCTGGCTTTTAATTTCGCTTTCGCTGAAGAGCATGTTTACAGACAGTAAGTGACAATCCTGCACAATTTGTCTTTAAGAGTAGGTATATAGATATAGATAATTTTAGCTGATGGTCTCGTTTGGCATCATTATGAAACTGAGACTGTTTGAAACTATTTGAGACTATTGAAAATTAGGAAATAAAAAAGATGAATGAAAGTTTATCTCTTGCTGGGTTTGAATATGTGTCAAACCTAAATAGGGGCTTCTGTGTCAGTACAGTGACACCCACCCTTACTATGTTACTGTATCAAGAATCCTTTATGTCTTTCTTTCTCGGTCCTCTGTGCTGTCACTTCACTCAGCTCTCAGTGGAGCCACAGGAAGCTCTCTGTGATGAGCTGACAGACGGCTTCCTGTTTTGAAGCGCAGTGGTGGTTTTGGAGACTCATCTTCCTCTCTGTCAGAAAAACAAAATGGGGCTTTTGTGATGGCGCCATACAGTACATTCTGACAGAGATTAAAGTAAAATGGAAAATTTTATCTTTGAGGCTGAACTTGGTTTGTTTGTTTGGCAGTGTGTGTGTGTGTGTGTGTGTGTGTGTGTGTGTGTGTGGTTTGAGTGTGTGCCTTTTGTGTATAGAAAAATCAATACATTTACCGTTGTATTTTATTCATGTGTTTATCTACTTGCGGGTTAATCTGTGGCCTTTGGTTTAATCTTGTCAGGATAATTTATTCAGAGTCTTCAGTGACGTCAGTGTTGTTTGGTCGTGTCTGTCTCGCTATCAGTAATTTATGTCGTTGGCCAACAGAGGTGAACGTGCAGGACAGCCTCCACACATGAGATAATTGGATCCCAACTGTTAAACAGGCCACTGGGAGAATCCTGGTGTTTCCCCCGCTGCAAACACAGCTTGTGACAGGCACATACTGTCCATTCTTTGTTTATTATTCTGGGGTGATGTGTTTGTTAGTGGTCACAAGGTATATGTATGTCCATGGAGACCAGGTTATTTATATGGAGTTTTCTCACTGGGTAATGTGCACTGTGATTGGCCACACGGGGACCATTACCGCTAATGTCACACACACACACACACACACACACACACACACACACACACACACAGAGGAAGAGATATAGATTGAGACCAGCGTTAATCTCCAGCGCCTCTCACTGTGCTGCATGAAAGGAAGGAGGGAGTGTGACTGATTAGGGTGGCACTGTGCACTCCTGTGTGAGAGTGCACGTGTCTGTATTTGTGAGTTTAGTCAATAAGTGTTGGCTCTGCGCCTCGTTCTGCGTCACTTTGGGAATTTCCCATAAGCTTTCAGATTCAAATTCAGTGCTGTTTTCAGGAAATGTAAATAAATGCTGGTGGTGGGCTGGGGTTGTATTAAAATCTTTCTATGTGAGGTTAAATTTAGGGGTGTTTTTGAAGCACTCCAAAGGGGGCAGCTTTTTAATGAGACCGCAAAATCACTTAAATCCAAGTCAGTGTTTTATTTTGTTAGTGGATTTCCTGCCACCTTTTATCTTTTTAGGGCCTAAAATTGACTGCCAGAGCTCTTCCTTTTTGCTGTCTTTCAGAGTAAGATTAAAAAAAAAGGGGGGGGGGGGTCTTACAGGAGAGACTTATGTCTCTCTGTCCACACCCCTTCTCACTCCCTCTATCATACCCCAAGGCACCGGGAATATTTTTAGAGCACTGCTGCCTCTCTCCCTCGCCATGCCGGGTCAAAAAAACTTGTCGCCATTGGAAACACTTCTCCGTCCTAATGAGGCGACTCTATGAGGATTTGTGATGGTTAGACGCCCTCCCTTCCCTCTGAGGGGAACCTTTTCATCCTCTGTGAATTGTGCTTCCCCCTCTCTCACGTGTTCATTCATATTCTTTAGATGAAACATGGCTCATGATCTTTTTTCCTATCTCTTTCTTTCTCTTATCTCTCTTTGCCTTTCATATCCCCCAGATTTCTTTCATATGAAGGGTTCCCTCCTCTTCTCGCTTATAAAAGATCCAAGTGCTCTTGAGGCTCACATGAACTCTTATTTGAATGAAATCAGAGATATGCTGATGAGTAGATGTTAATCAGCCTCTGATCAGTGTTCACAGATGTTCATTGTGAATATGAAAATGTTGATCCATGTACTGGTGATCAAATTGAACTTCATAAATACAACAGTTGAGCTTTATGTATTTGTCAATGTCCGAGCAATGGGCAGCAGGATTTGAGCTACCATTGAGGATTAGATGTGCACTATATTTGTATTTTTCTAAAATTTGCATTGATTTATTGATTATTTATTTCAAAAGCAAATCAATTTTCTGAAAGAAATCAGAATTTTACCATGGACCAGTGACACTCAAATTACAGCCTGCAGGACAAATCTGGTCCACCACAGGACTACCTAATTCACAATGAAAATAAACTGATTCAAACTGGGGACATTTTTCTTTGAATGTAAAAAAAAAGGTGCCAGAGTGCATAAAAAATAATCAAAATTGAGCTTGTCTATTAAAAAAGACAGAGGTTCGGGCCCCGAGTGTCCTCAAATCCTAGAAACAGCCCTGTGTACACCTGAGCTGTGGGGACATTTTCAAGATGAAACAATGAATCGATTAATTGGAAAGATAATTGGCAGATTAATCAGTAATGAAAGTAATTATTAGCAGCCAGAGGTGTGGACTCGAGTTAGATGACTTGGACTTGAGTCAGACTCGAGTTACAAATTTGATGACTTTAGACTCTGCTTGACAAAATCAAAAAAGACTTGCAACTCAAGTTGGACTTAAACAGCAGTGACTCGTAACTTCACTTGGACTTGAGCCTTTTGATTTGAAAATAATTGATACTGTACCCCGACCCCAAAGACTAAAAAGCATATGTGAAAAGTGCGCCACGAATGAATTCATTTCCATTTATTTATTTATTTATTTCCTGAATCAATTATTCACTCCCAGCAAGTCGACACTTAATTTCCCAGATCCACTTTGTTTGAACTAATCCGACAGCTTCCAATCAAGCTGCAGGAGGGAACCATAAATTAACATTACATTACTTACTAATTGAAAAAAAAATGATAACAAAGATAAGTTTGTTTGCGTACAAAAACAACATGGTGGTCACCAAGAAAAGGAATGTGTGCAAAAAGTGCGGGTTGAAACTCCCACAACATGTTTCAACAAATAAATTAAAATTTAAAAGAATATTCATAATTATTGTAAATTGAATATGTTATTACTTGTTTGTTAAAGTGGCATTACATTTATCGAAGAGTGCAATATGACTTGGGACTTGATATTTTGTATTTTCATAAAGAAAATCAGAATCTCTGTGTGCAGTAGAATGACATTTTGATATTTACACTCTATTTTCTTTATTACATTTGTGTTTAAGATTTGCTCACCTGCTTATGATATATACAGTACATTAGTATATGGAGTATGTGATCATCTTCAATCACTCTATTTAGGATTGAATCACCTGCAATTACGACATCCGGCTTATCCTGCCTTAGATTAGCTGCAATTAAACCTTTAATTGGATTTTATGTGGACTCTAATACAGCCATAATTGAATAACTTTGCCCACATATATGCTCTTATCTGTTAGTGTAAGGTTCTCTGTGGGGGTGACATCTGATCGGTCAATAAATCAGATGGATGAGCTGCGATGGTGAGCTCAGATAAACTGATTGGGTCTGCCAGCGTCGTCGCGGTGGGGCAGAATTAGAATGCTGCTGCCTGCTGCCTCTGTCTAGTCAGGTATGATTAATGGTGTAATAGTGAAGGGCAAGGGCAAGCAAAGGCTTTTAGCATCAGGAAAAACAATAACAGATTGGAAGGAGGAGGCTCTGTGTAGTAGGCCAAATAATCTGTGTTTATATATGGTTATATAAGATGACATGCCTTTTAATCCGCTGAGATCCATTCTGGATGGAAAAAAATGTTTGTCCTGCCTAAGCAAAGAATATTCTTCAGAGGGATAACTGACTGTCTGTCTATTTTTTTCAACTCATTTGTCTTCTCCTTATTGCACCCCCCTTCCTCCTCTCTGTATCTGCGCCGTCCTTTCATCCTTCCTTCCCTCCCTCCTCATCAGGATGGATCACGTGCCGGTCGGGAGAGGAAGAAGACAGTGTCCTTCAGCAGCAGCCTATCAGAGAAGAAGATCAGCAGTGCTGCAGACTGTATCCACTCCATGGTGGGTCAGCCACAGTGTAACCCTTTACATAGACTATACATTTTGCACATCTGCATTAAATATTTAATGTTAAGCGCATGCATCGAGGGTTTCTGTTATATTGCAGGGTTTTGAGCCTGTCAGACACTCAACAGAGCTTGTTCAGAGGGCTAATGGAGTGATCTCTATACTGAAAGTCAATTGGTTAAAGCTTCATCCATATCTCGCTTGCAGGTTGAGGGGAGTGAGCTGAAGAAAATCCGAACCAACTCACGTGTTTACCTGCGTTACTACCTGCTGGACGCAGGCCTTCAGGCTCTATGCTGGGAGCCGTCCAAGAAGGAGTCAGACAAGGCCCGCATCTCTCTGGCCTGCATTCGAGAGGTCAGTGTCCAGAGAAAAAGCTTTATGGATCAATCCTAGCTCACTTTATGAGTGACCTTACTGATTCTTCTAGACTCAGGCAAAGGAAATACCCTGGACCATATGGAAGATGACAGTTGATTTGTTTTCATTGTATCTGATGGGGGTTTTTCCATGTCTCACATTCTAGGTGCGGACAGGTCGTAACACAGAAACCTTCCGCACCAGCGGCGTTTATGAGCAGATTTCAGAGGACTGTGCGTTCTCCATCATCTATGGAGAGATGTATGAAAGCTTGGACCTGGTGGCCAACTCTGCTGAAGTGGCTAACATTTGGGTGACTGGCCTGAGGTATGGCACAATAAACAACCAGTAGTTGTCTATGGAGCAGTGTGTAGGATTTAGTGGCATCTAGCAGTGTGGATTGCAGATTGCAACCAGGTGAAACTTCTCCTATTTGCCAAGCAGTAACCCCAGGTTAGGATTCCTTCAGTGGTCATGTTTCAGGAGGTTTTTCCCGGGAGCTGAATTATCTGCAGAGGTCTCTTCCCCCCCAAAACAAATGGGCCTGGTTTTTAAAACCAGTGAAAAAATACAAAATAAAGCAGTTTCACATTAATAAAATCAGTGTTTTTCATACACTGTTTGACTCATTGTGGAGAGTCTTCTAACTGCAGTGGCTGACATGAAAATGCAAATAGCCCTATGTAGAGCCAGTGTTTGGTTTGTCTTTTCTGGGCTACTGTAGAATAATGTCAGACTCCGCGGACAAGGACCCGCTCCCTATGTATATTATATTATATTCCATTTCTGCCAATATATCCCCCTAAATCCTACACACTGGACCTTGAACTAATTAAATCAAATGAATGAGAAGGATGCTATTCCACATAGGTTGAGCATTTGTCAGTTTTATTCACATAGCCCAAAATTACAACTCATAGATTTGCCAAAAGAATTCAACAGGGCTCACTCCCTATTACTGCCGTTCTTTAAAAGCACTAATGCTCATACTCATGTTGTTCTTGTGTGTTTTGAACATATATCTGTGTTCTGACTGACATGAAGATAAGGAGATATGGATTAAAATTCAATCTGTGGTTGAACTAAGGTTTGTACATATGGGGTAGGCTAGGCTAATCTAGCTAATTTAGTTCCGACTTTAATGTCAGTCAAACAGGAATTATCTTGTGTCTTAAAGCCAAAACACACCACCGCCACTGCACGTCAAAAAGGTCAGTCCTGTTATTTTCTATGTATAACCCCACATGGACTAGGCATTGCAGAACTCCACCTCTCACTCCCTGCCTATACTTCCCATTCCTTGCTGTGTGTCGGAGAATGGATAAGGAGAGACTAGCCGTTGAGGTTGACAAGTATCCCAAGCTATACGACCCACAATCCCATCATTATAAGACAATGGTGAAAAAAGATATTGCCCAGCGAGCCATAGTTTTGGAGATTGGCTCCTCAGGGGAGAAATCATGTTTAATTAATAGGTGTCCACACATGATTTTTAAGTTAATGCAGAGGTGGAAGAAGTACAGATCTTTCAGTAAAAGTAGTAATAACTGGGTGTGGTCCTCTGTTGACATGCTGCAGTGCAGCGCTTCCTATTTGACATCCGGCACTTGAAATGCGGCACATGACGTGCGTAATGACATTCCCAGGTGCTGCGGTGGCAGTGTTGCTTACAGCTTTAGGCTCTGCTTTTTTCTCCTGTATTGATTGCATTGTGGTGAATAGTGAGATCTTGGATCATTTCTTTGTCAAGTCCTTTGAGAAGTGCTTGTGCTGAAGGGCTATGACAGTAAATGTGATTTGGCTTTAAACTGATTTTACTGCTGCAGTGGCTGTATTGTATATACGTGTCAGCAAAATACTTGAGATGATAATGCATATGTTTTTTAATGCAGGGAAATATTTTGTCCATCTTCTTCCAGGTATCTGATGCAGTATGGGAAACATGCCCTGGACATGCTCGCCAGCAGTCAGGACAGCCTTCGTCTTGGCTGGCTGGAGAAGTTGTTCTCCTCTGCTGCTGATTCGGGAGGACAGGGAGATATGGAGGAAGGGATCTGCTTGCAGTCAGCTGTTAGGTTGATACAGAGCGTGAACCCTGGGGTGGGCAGCAGCAAAGTGGAGCACAGGTTTAAAGAGCTTCAAAGAGTTAGGGAGAAGATGTGTGGGCTTACTCTGGATAATGAATCAGGAGTGAAAGATCACGGTGAAAACAAAAGACTAATCACAAGAAATGAGCAAGTCACCAAGCAGGAGTTTATCAAGGTCTTCCATGACTTCTGCACACGTCCGGAGATCTACTTTCTGTTGGTGCAGTTCTCTAGCAACAAGGAGTTCCTGGACACCAAAGACCTGATGAGGTTCCTCGAGGCTGAGCAAGGCATGGCTCAGGTGGGTAACACAAATTAATCAGGCATACAGATAGAAAACAAGATAGGTGTACATTCACAAATGCACCCTCAGCCTTCCCGTACTGTCATTACAACCTTGTCCAAATTCTCCTTCTTCTCTGTTCCATTTTCTCACTTTCTCCTGCAGGTGAGCGAGGAGACCAGCCTGAAGCTCATCCAGTCCCATGAGCCATCAGAGGAGGGCCGGCAGCAAGGATACCTGTCACTAGACGGCTTCACCAGCTACCTCACCTCAGCAGAGTGCCACCTCTTTGACAGGGAGCACGACACTGTGTGCCAGGACATGTCTCAGCCTTTGTCTCACTACTACATCAACTCCTCCCACAACACCTACCTCATTGAGGACCAGTTTCGAGGTCCATCCGACATCTCTGGCTACATCCGTGCCCTTAAAATGGGCTGTAGATGTGTGGAGGTGGACGTCTGGGATGGCCCTGATGAGGAGCCGGTGGTGTGTACTGGACACACCCTCTCACCACCACTGTCCCTGCGTTGTGTGCTAGAAGCAATTGGAAAGTTTGCTTTTGTGGCCTCGCAGTACCCATTAATTGTATGTGTTGAGAACCACTGTTCACCTCAACAACAGAGAGTGATGTGGCAACATCTTGTGAGGATACTAGGAGATAAGTTATACACAAAACCCCTACATGAAGGGGAGTCATACCTACCATCGCCGCATGCCCTAAGGCATCGAATCCTGTTAAAGGGTAAGAAGTTGGGGCCAGGTCCTGATGGGGAGGATGGGGAGGTAAGTGAGGAGGATGAAGGGGCAGAGATGTGTCAAAGGATGAAAGCAGCTAACAGTGGAGGGGCAGGAAATGAGAAGGACGTGGTGCAGAAAAGTGTCTCTTTCACAGTTGTCACTCAGTGTAATCCTCTTCATCTTCTTCCCAAACGTTTCCAACTCTTGAAGGAGCTCTCTGACCTGGTAACTCTTTGCCGCTCAGTCCGCTTCATTGACTTCCCAACTTCATCCAAATGCCAGAAGCCTTGGGAATTGTGTTCCTTACATGAGTCACAGGCCGTGCGTCTCGCTGGCGAGAGCCCTGGCGACTTTGTCAATCACAACAAGCATTTCCTGTCACGGGTATACCCCAGCCCCATGCGTATTGACTCGAGCAACATGAACCCTCAGGACCTGTGGAAGTGCGGTTGCCAGATTGTGTCTATGAATTTTCAGACAGCAGGACTGATGATGGACCTGAACACGGCCTGGTTCAGACAGAATGGGAGCTGTGGTTATGTTCTGCGGCCAGCCATCATGCGGCAGGAGGTGTCTTATTTCAGTGCCGACACCAGGGACACGGTGCCTGGGGTGTCTCCACAGCTGCTGCATGTGAAGGTGTGGTAGAATAATGTGTAGACCCCAAGATACGTGAAAGTTGGTTGGAATAATCCTCTAAACTCTCTTGTGTTCTGCAATCCATTAAGTGACAAACCTTTGTGTTGATCCCTCTCCTAGGTGATAAGCGGCCAGAACCTACCCAAGCCTAGGGGCTCGGGGGCCAAAGGGGACGTGGTGGACCCCTATGTGTATGTCGAGATCCACGGCATCCCAGCTGACTGCACGGAGCGCCGCACCAGGACGGTGACACAGAACGGGGACAATCCCGTCTTCGATGAGAGCTTTGAGTTCCAGATCAACCTGCCGGAGCTTGCAATGGTTCGCTTTGTGGTGCTGGATGACGACTTCATAGGGGATGAGTTCATAGGTTGGTGTCAGGGTTAGAAGGGTGACTGTCAATGGACTCAAGCAATTCCTGTTATTGTCATATTTCTTTGGAATACTTTGAAATGAACTGCGATCTCCCTGCTACCACAGGTCAGTACACCATCCCTCTGGAGTGTCTTCAACCAGGCTACCGACATGTACCGCTCCAGTCTCTGACAGGGGAGGAGCTTCCCCACGCCAAGCTGTTTGTCCATGTGGCCCTGACCAATCGCAGAGGGGGTGGAAAGCCTCACAAAAGGGGACTGTCTGTGAGGAAGGCCCGCAAGGGGAGGGACTACACAGCTCTGAGGGACTTGGGGGTCCGAGCTGTGGATGAGGTTTTCAAGATGGCTGCTCCTCCGCTAAGAGAAGCCACTGACCTGAGGGAAAACATGCAGGTGAGGGGCAGTGCCACTAAATATTTAGCTTGTTGGTCGGACAGCAAACACGACTCAGTCAAAACCTAGTGAATGGCTAGATCTTGTATGAAACGATAAAGAGCTTTTAATGTGAAACAGGAAGTGGTGGCATTCACTTAGTCACAGACTTTGATAAAAAAAAAAAAAAAAAAGACCAATATACTTTTTACACACTCACACACCAGAAGAACCTGTTTTTCTGGAGCTGTAACTACTGATCATTTAACACAAGCTCTGGTTGGTGATGTCTCGCCATGACTGGTGGAGGCTGTGCAGCCATTGAACACTATCACAGCCAAGTTTTGCCAATAGTGATGCTTTGTAAAATGTCTTATGAGTGCAGATTAATCATCCGAACCAACTAATTTGTCTACCTACCTCTAGTTATGGGTTGTTACTAAGATGGCGACACTTGTTTCACTCTATCCTCATAATGGTCGTGGCACCTGTGTCGACATTGTAACGTGTTATATTCATTAACAGTACTTGTGTGTCATACAGACATGGCTCTTCCTCAGACAAACTGATGAGGTGATCTTCTCCATGCTCCATCGGAAAAGTGCCATTTCAGCTGCTAGTTACTAGCTAGCTTGCTAATGCCACCATGCTTTTATTCTAACTTTACAGTGGTTACTGAAAATCAGACAAACAAATTGTCACTCATCTGATTATAGCAATGTACTTTCCTACGCTGTGACAATAGTGTGTGGATAAAGCATTAAGTTGTTGAATTTTACTCATGTAGCGGCTGGCTAGCTAGCTTGCTAATTCCATCATGCTATCAGGCTACACTGTGTTTATAAGGCCGGCCTCGCACATGTGTTTTAGCCAAAAATGTAAAGATGTCATGTTGGACGCGAAGATTTAATCGTTTTCTTTTTTTTTTTAAATACATTTTTTGCATTATTTGTGTTCATTATAACTACATGTGGAGTAACATGGTTATTTTATGTCTCTTGATTGTTGGCTTTATCTTGGAGTTTTGAAATTAAACAGTGATGATTATATATGCAACTGAAAAGAAAGAGGTGAAGTACTGGAGCTCGTGACGCATTTTCTGCCATTGTTAAAAGCTGATCTAACCTTTATGTGCCAGGCAGCAATTTGGTCTGTGGGTGCTTGAATCACCCTGGGGGAATAAAAACAGTAATTATACAGCATGTTCCATCGGTGTGGTGAGACTGTTGGCACTCATGTCTCTTGATTTCTTCCATCCCAACCGGAGCTGCTACAACAGCACAGCTGCAGGAGGGAACTGCAGGGGAGCAAATCAATAGTCGAAGGAAAAGACAAATAGCTCTGTTGCAGGAGTGGTTTTTGATTACCTGTTTGTGTGTGTTTGTGTGTTTGTGTGCATAAGAGACAGTGAAAGCAAATCATGTGGAAGACACAGTGGAGAAGAGATTTCATAGATTTTCTGTTTATATTATTTTGATTTCATTCTGTGTCTGTGTCTGGTTTTTCCATCAGTTAGGAAATAAGAGAGATTGTGAAAGGCTTTTTTATGTTTTCAAATTTTCAGATGTTTGTTTGTCCTCTTCTTCTCGTAAACAGAACTCTGTAGCACTGTTCAGGGAGCTGTGTGGGGTGTCGGCGGTGGCTAACCTCATGCAGTGTGTCCTAGCTCTGGGCTCCAGGGTGTCAGGACCAGACGGGGCACCTTTACTACTGTTTGACCTCCGGGACCACTACCCCACACTGGAGCCTCAGGGTCCCCTGCCTGATGTCCTTCGCCGGGTCGTCTCTACTTATGAAATGGTGAGGAAGGAAGAGAGTTAATATGCTTGTGGCTTTCCATCGTATGAAGGAACATCTCTGAAATACATCATAAGGAAGGAAAGACCAAACAAAAGCAGCAAAGATCACAAATCAGTGAACCACTTCCCATCTCCTGTCTACTCGACCTAACAATGCCCCCCCCCCCCCCCACCCCCCCACCCTTGCAGACAAAAGCTTCCTTTCTAACTGATATGTTCACAAAGCGGGCGCTCATTGTTATGTAGCAGACAGCATTCCCATTTTTTTCCTAGCTTTAACAAGGCTCGTAAACACATCGGCGACATCCTCACCTTGGCCTGAATCCACTGTGTGTTTCCACCCAAATAAACTGAGGACTTTTCATCGACTGAGGAGAAAGTTATTTAACAGACTTTATTCATTTAATGATGTCTAAAAATAAACCCAGCCTCCCCCGTGGAAATGAATACAAAGAGAGAAAGAGGGAGAGAGAGAAAAAAAGAGGGCAGAGCGGTCAATTGGTCTGTTAGTGGACTCATCAAATGGTCAATACGGCGGGATGAATCAGTTTGTTTGGGTGGGTTCAGGTTGCTCGACTGCAAGGATACAATGTCAGGCTTCCTTACTTTCATATATTACTTTCAACATATTTTCCCTTAGTCTCCATTTTTCAGCCTCCTCTTCATCCCTTCTTTTACCTTCCGAGGTCCCACCTCCTCTATTTATGCCTCCATGCCAATGATATCATGTGGCCGGAGGCATTATGTTTTAGGGTTGTCGGCCCATCCATCTGTCCTTCTGTCCCATTCTTGTGAACGTGATGTCTCAAGAACATCTTCGGGCAATTTCTTGAAATTTGGCACGACTGTCCACTTATCTTATCAAAAAGTGATACATTTTGGTGGTTAACGGCCAAAGGTCATGGTCACTGTGACCTTGTCTGTCTCATTCTCATGAGCACGATATCTCAAGAAACCCTTGAGGGAAGTTCTTCAAATTTGTTACAAACATACTTTGAATCAAGGATGAACTAGTGCGAATTTTGTGGTCAAAGGTCAAGGTCACTGTGACCTCATCCATTGCATTCTCATTAACACTATATCTCAAGAATGCCTTGAGGGAATTTCCTCATATTCAGCTCAAACGTCCACTTGGACTCAATAATGAAGTGATTAGAATTTGGTGGTTGAAGGACAAAGGTCAAGGTTACTGTATGGTCATTGAACATGTTTTTGGCCATAACTCAAGAATTCAAGTAGGTAAAAAGTCAGCTTCACTGTGACATCGTATTGTTCTGCAAAAACACTTTTCTGGCCATTACTCAACGTCATATCTCGGGAACAGAAGGGGAAACATTTGGTCAGGTGTCCATCTTGAAACTGTGCTGATTGTATAGATTTTCTCTGCTGCCGGGGGGAAGATGTGTGTGAAGTATCCATGTTCTCACAGACATGGATGTAAACTGTATCCGCAACTTTAGGGGTTTGCGGAGGCCTACAACTGCAATTCTAGTTTTCCTTCTGGGTCCTCTTGGACTATGGACAACCACCTGTATGTGGTTTCAGTGCAGCTGTGTTTCAGGATTCTAGCCTGCCCTGTCATGTTAAAGTGTTGCAGTGGTAAGCAACAGTACACCCCCTTTTATCACTATCTGTCTGGCCGCTGGCTCTTTTTAAATTGATATTTGCTCAAAGTGCACTTGTTTGTGTTTCATATTGGATATTCCCCAGGAGTCTCTTGGGTTTGGATGATGGACAGTCAGTATGAATTGCCAATTTAGAGATACTGTCCAGAGAGCATATGTGGTGTGTGTGAGTGTGTGTGGGTGAGGGAGGTTTTTGTAGCCAGGAACAGGCTATCGTGAAGACAAATGGATCTGTTTCTGGTCTTATTGAGTTATGATTAAGGTTTTAGCGTATAAACAGTGACACTTTAATTTAACCAGGGTTGTTTGTCACTGCTCTGCAACTAGCATCTGCGTAGACCTGTGACTGTCTATTTGTGCATTAGCGTGTAAGTAAGAACGTGTGTTTGTGTGCGTGTGTATGTTTAGCCACTTCCGTTTCCAGCCAAGCAGATCAGAGTTGAAAAAGCTTGCTGAATACCATTAGCATAGATTTGAATGTCGTTCGCCTAAATGGATTCCACACCTCAATCCTGATGCCTGAAGGGAGAGTCGGAGAACAGGGACAGGAAGTGCGGATGAGAGTGTGTCTGTGTGTGTATGTGTGTGTCTTACTGAATTGGATCTGGCCAAATTTATGTACTGTAGTTAATCCCTTATTTGTGGAACAGTGTTTTTTTTCCCCACAGAGGGGTCATGTCCCAGTCAGGGCTTGCGAGAGGAAGTGCCGAATTAATCAGGCTGAAGAGACTCATGTCATTCCTGTGTGTGTGTGTGTGTGTGTTTGTGCGTGTGGTCATTACTTTGAAGGAGCTGTCACATTAGTCTCTGTGGGTGCCTTTACGTGCATGTCTATATATATGTCTACTGTGCACTGTGGTAAAACAGCCTACAGTGTGAACCTTAATTGGCTAGTTCAGTAATTTTAACAACCGCCAACATATGCAAAAACTTCACGTGTTTCATTTCATCATAAATATTCACCTTCCGTGTGATTTGCACCCATTTAATGTGGAGTAAATTGTGTTCTTTTACAGCAGACCATAAAACAGCCTGTATATGTGCTTAAATGTGTGATTCACACACAAAAACAAGATGGGAAAGGGGTTTATGGTGCACTACAACTGTGTGTGTATGTGTGTGTATTTCACACTAATATATGTTCCCCTGTCTGCAGATGGTCCAGGCGAGCAGAGCGGTGATGGAGCTCTCTGATGGAATCGCCGACAGGATCCTGCATATACAGACAATGGGTGTGTAGGTGTGTGTGTGTGTGTGTGTGTGTGGGTGTGCTTGTGTTGGTGTGTATATGACATGCTGCTACGTAGAGCGTGTGTTACGATGTGTGTGTAGAGATCAGGCAGTGCCTATGTTCCCAGTCCGCTCATGACAACTCCCACACAGCCTCTTAACCACTGCAGTGGCTGCTTTTGTCATTAATGTAGCGCCCTTCCTTTTTATTTCCTTTCCGCCCCTCTCCTCTTCCTTTCCTTTTTGTGTTTCCTTCCTAGTTTTCTTCACTTTCCTTTTCTTTCCTCTGATGCTCTCTTATCTTGCTGTATCCTCTTTCTTTTCCTCTCATTCCCTTTCCTCTTATTTCCTTTGCCTTCTTTTCCTCTCCTCACCTCTACTTTCCTTTCCTTTCCTTTCCTTTCCTTTCCTTTCATTCCCTTTCCTTTTCTTTCCTCTCCTCTCCCATTCCTTTTTGTGTTTCCTTCCTAGTTTCTTCACTTTCCTTTTCTTTCCTCTTGTGCTCTCTTCTCTCGCTGTATCCTATTTATTTTCCTTTCCTTTCCCCTCCTCTACTTTCCTCTCCTCTCCTCTCCTTGTATCACATTTCCTTTCCTCTCAATCTCTTTCTTTTCCTTTTTCCTTTCCTTTCTTTTCCCCTTTCTTTTCCACTCCCACCCACTCCTATTATCCAATTTCCTTTTTGCTCATGCTATTTTCTCTCCTTTCTTTTTAGGCCTCACATGTCTTTGTGTCCTCTTTCCTTTGTCATTTCCTTTCACCTCTCTTCCCTTCTCTCCTCCCCTTTTCTTGTATCACTCTTCCTTTCCTTTACCCTTTCTTTTCCGCTCCCACTCCCACTCTCCTATTATCTAATTTCCTTTTTACTTATGCTAATTTTCTCCTTTCTTTTTAGCCCATTTTCATTTATTTCTTCTCCTTTTATCCTCTTTCCTTTCCTTTCCTTTCCTTTCCCCTCATTCTCTTTACTCGTCTTTGTATCTTCTTTCCTTTTTCTTTCCTGTTATCTGTAACATTTTTTCTCTCCTCTCCTCTCCTCTCCTTGTATCATCTCCCCTTTCCTCAATCTTCTGTCCTGTCATTTCCCAGTTGCCCAGTTCATCTGTATGTTTTGGATGGAGGGGATTTAAATTGGCCGTGCTCCCTCCATCGATCACCCTTCAGGCTATTAAGTGAAGGGCACCATATCTGACTGTAATCTTTGGCAGAGGTGTGTTTACTTCAGCAGGGCCCCCCTGGGTCATCTGACATTAGTCAGCCAGACTGTCGTCAGAGTGGCAATAAACAACCCACAAACACACCAACACACACATTTTACCCGCATCCCCTCCTTCACCCCGATTCAGTCTTCAGCTGTCACCCAGGAGACACAGTGACTGACATTTGGAGGTGTTAACCACTGGCTTGGAGAGAAAAAATAAACACATTAACGTTATTTATAAGATTCTCTGGTTGCTGGCTTTTAAAAAGCTGCATTTACAGACGTCATGGATTTAAAAAAAAAAAAAAAGACTATTAGGACATATATTTTAAGCATCTTTGGGTTTCATGAGTTTTGTGGGTTGAAATACGGTCAGCTTTTAAATATCGCCCTTGAGAGAAGCATGAATAGTAAAGAGGAGACAAAGGAGAAATTAAGGTGAACTTGAGGTGAATTGATATTTCGAGAGGAACATGATGGTTCAGTCGGGGCTATTGTGGAGACAGAGAGTGCGCTTGACGGAGATGAATGTTGTTTACAAATTTGCGCTCTGCTCCACTTTGCTCCCAGACAACTCATCCCATTCTGCACTGAACTTTATTTTAGGTTTTCCAGAGCCAGTGCGTTGCTCCCTGATCAAATAATCTGTGACATATTCATCTGTTTTGTAGCTCAAACTGCAGCGGCGGCCAACCGCTGCTGAGATACCATCAAAAACCATCTTACATTGTATCATATACTTTTATTTCACATGTGATCACTTGTAGTATTAATAGAGTGAGATTAAATGTGAGATAGTGTAGTCCGGTGCCGGAACGTTCTTCTGATAAAGAGCTGCTGCAGAGCCCGAGGCCCGATCTCACGAACAAAGCTCTTCCTGTGTGCACAGAGGAAAGATAGCAATCAGGTGATCCCAAGGCGTAGGTCCTCCTCTAAGTCTTAGATGAGGGGGTGGGCAGCGAGGAGGCATAAGCAGGTCACTCAGAGGAAGCCACGGGTTGGCTTGTGGCAGAGATGGATGTCTGAAAGTTACATCAGAGCAGAGGGTTGAAACGGAGAGGAAGAAAAAAGCTGTGGGAAGATGGCAGAGAAAGATAGCTGGAGGCAACGCTGGGGGGAGGACAAGAACACCAAGGGAGAAGAGTCAGTGAATCTACCTTGGTATTAGGATGTGTTGGTGTGTAGAGGTGCAGGTTCATCCAATTAAAAAAACACTTATTTGCTCACTTTCTCTTTGTGGTACAGCCATGCAGATAGTTCTGGTTTTATTTGTCCAGGTTTTGATATATCTGTCTCTTTATCACTTAAAAGAAAGAAAACATTTTCTCTCATGCCTCCGGTGAAGGAAGAATCCAAAAATGTTTAAAGTTCTTGATAAATTGAAATGCATGGGGTCCAGATTTAACAACGGCAAAAATATCAAAACATCCATTTACAAACCCTGCAACTCGTGCAGCATAATCCATGTCTCATTTATCCAGTGGTATGCTCAGTACTTCCCAAACAGATGGCCATTTTGACGGGGAACTGATCTAAAAGTGAAAATTATCCATGCTCTCTTCAAAGCCAGACTCCACTGACAAAAACAGTAATTTTATATGCTGAGCATGGGAGCTGCTGGTCTGCCACTGCCTCCATCAGTTTGTTGCATGACTTTGGTGTTCTAAAGGATTAGTTTGGATCCAGTAAAGTCACACAATAACACAAACAAACTACCAATCTAGGCAGCAGTGGATCAGCAGGTCTCGGTTCAGCAAGGTAAAAATTACTGTTTGTGTCAATGGAGTCCAGCACTGAGAGCATATATAAGTATCAATTTTACTTCAGTTCCAGATCAAAACGGGCCATCTGTTTAGGAAGCACTGAGCATATGACTGGATAAATGAGACTTGGATTATGCAAGAGGTGTGTGAAAGTTTCTTAACAGATGCTGTTACTATACTTGCCCTCTTGTGACTTCAGTTCATCAAGAACTTTCTCTGTTTTCAGAGTCTTCATTTCAGGTGGAGTCATGTAAAAGAAAAACAAAGTTTCCTTCTATTCAACGCCACATGCAGTAACTGATATACAAATGGTCATTTGGGGGGGTGACGTATTCCTTTAACACCAGGCTGAAAGGCTGTGTTTTGCTGCCGTCGCTAGTCTCTACACGCAACAACCACACCTATCAGTGATGTCACAGCACTCTGTTTAACCACTGCATTAAGCTGAGAAGGTAAACCACTGGAAGTAAGATGACAAACAATGTTTCATGAGCAGGTCAACGTTGCTCTCAGTCATGTGTCTTTCCACGGACAATACCCTCATCACTCTGTATAAACCACACAACACACCGTGGCTCTATTTCTTTGCTAGAAAGTAGCTCCAGTGAAAGCAGTTCATATTCAGGTCAGTGGTTCATCCAGAGAAGTTCCTGGAAAGAGATGCTCCTGGGCAAGTCAAATCAGTCCCACTGGAGGTACGTGATGACACCCAACCAATACTCGATTTGTGAGGCCAATATTGATACGTGAAAATTTTTTAAAATATGTAAATGACCAACACACATTTTCCCATAAAAATTGGCGACTAAAAAATGGTGACCAAGTTATGTAGTGAAATGGGTATGTTACAGTTGAAAATACATTTGAAATGCCAGCACTGACTATTTTGAAATCCCCTCACATGAAGTGGGAGTGATAAACGAAAATGTGAATAAACATAATGGATGAACATGCTTCCATACAGAGCGCGAGGAGTCATTGAATGGTTTGATGATCAAGAGAATGATGTGAGTCATACGCTATGGCCTTCACACCCACCTGCTTTTAATCTGCTCTCCACCACCGTCATCTAAACACCAAATAAGGGGATATCCTTTGAAAGAAGGATCTCTTTATCTTGTATTGCTGGTGAACAGACCCTTTAAGATCATCACTGGGCAGCTGCTTGAGCCCTGACCTCCTATCTAGATATATATAGATTTCACACCTCATGAGATTCAATTCAATTTCAATTCAATTCAATTTTATTTATAAAGCCCAATATCACAAATCACAATTTGCCTCACAGGGCTTTACAGCATACGACATCCCTCTGTCCTTAAGACCCTCACAGCGGATAAGGAAAAACTCCCCCAAAAAAAAAAACCCCTTTAACGGGGGAAAAAAACGGTAGAAACCTCAGGAAGAGCAACTGAGGAGGGATCCCTCTTCCAGGACGGACAGACGTGCAATAGATGTCGTACAGAACAGATCAGCATAATAAATTAACAGTAATCCATATGACACAATGAGACAGAGAGAGAGAGAGAGAGAGAGAGAGAGAGAGAGAGAGAGAGAGAGATGCAGGTAATGACAGTAGCTTACAACAACATTATTGAAAGTAATAATATTATAGTTATAGTTCTGGCTACTGTGGTACAATATGTTGAAAGTATGTATTAATATCTGGCAGTATACATGTGTGACAATAGTCATATGTGTATAATAACAGTAGAAGTATGACTAATGACTAATGATGGCAGCAGCAGCAGGAGGCATCTGGCAGGACCACGGCAGCAGCACAACCACACACGTCACGCTGTCCAGGCACCGCTGCGATATGAGTTAATCTGAGAGACAGTGGAGCACAAAGGCTCCGGAGAAGAAGCCGAGTTAGTGACATCCAGAATGGCCGAGTTAGCAAGATGCAGTAATAGGATGAGAGTGAGAGAGAGAGAGAGAGAGAGAGAGAGAGAGAGAGAGAGGGAGAGAGAGGGAGCCCGGTGTATTATAGGGGGTCCTCCGGCAGACTAGGCCTAAGTCAGCCTAACTAGGGGCT